TGAGGCCATTTCCTCTTGTTCTAGGTTGATGATTTAGGCAGGGTACAGGATGATTTGGGCACAGGGCTCTATGCAGGCACTGCTGACCTTCCTCTGGCTGACGAACCAGCGCTGCCTGCCTATTCTGCACCATCCTTCTCTGCCACCATTTCTTCTCCTTTGCCAGTGAGGGATGTGCTCAGCGTCTGCCAGGATGTGACCTGCAGGCATCTCCACCACCTGGGGCCAGCTCTCAGCAAAGCACCGCAGTTGGAAAAGTGACCATTATTTATTTAAAAAAAAAGAGCAACAAACCCCAAAAAGTTCAGCAATAAACCCCTAGTGATAACTTTTCTCAATACGTGTCGGGTGTCCACTCTGACCTCTGTAATGGGGCAGCCCCACAGGGTTGGCAGCCATCTCCCCTGCTCCTGTCCCAGCAAGGAGGACAATACCCAACTGGAAACATCACGCTGGAGCGAGGACCATTGCACACAGCACACACTTCTCTGGGTATGTGGGATGGGGCTGCACTCCAGCCCCCACCTGCCTTCTGCTCCAGCTGGTGGGGGGCTGCCCCCTCCCCAAAATGATGGGCAAGATGTGGCTGCAGAGCCTGGGATGAGCTGGTCCCAGGATGGGGCTGGCATGGAGTGTCCCTCACCGAGAGCATGGTGGTGCCATGGGCTGCAGGAGAGGAGCTCAGAGCTGCTGAGGTGAAGTCACTCCCTTAGAAGGAAAAACAAACCCTAAAAAGACAAAGTACTGGCAGTGGGTAATGGGGGTGCGGCCTCAGTCCTTGGGTGGGCTACACCAGCCCCGCCGCCTTCTCCTGCACGTTGTATTCCTTGCTTCTCTTCACCTTCCAGCTGATGAGGGCAAGGAGGACGGTGCCCACCACCTTGTAGCCCACCTGCAGCCCCAGGTATCTGTCAGGAGAAGAGCAGGGAGATGCTGTGTCTGGAGGTGGCACCTCCAGCTGGCACCAGGCTGAGCTGGGGACCATCCCCCTGGTCATCCCTG